TGGGAGTCGTCTCCCTGGGGTCACTCCCTGGGGTCTCCCCGTCACTCTCTGCCTGTGTTGGGGTGGGGGTCGTCCCTGGGGTCGCCCCGTCACTCCTTTGGTTCCGAAGCCGCCGACTTCCTCCTCCAGCACGGCTCCTGCCTTGGCTCTGGGATGTTCCCTCCCCACTCGCCTCTGGGAGAGGCTTTACTTTCTGGACCGCCCTCCTGTAGTCAGCAGCTTCCAGTTGGCCCCTGTGCCTCGCGGTTTGTAGGTGCCAGGCGTGTGAAAATGGCTGGTTTCAGAGATGGCTTTTCCCTGCCGTCTTCCTCTGTTTTCGTGAATTTTGGAAGATGACACATCTAGAAGCGCCTCTTCTTTGCTGTCTTAGCTCGAAGTCTGGAGCTTCTGCTTGCTGGTGAGATTGAAGCAGACGCTGAGATCCTTTCGCCCTCCTGCCTGTTTTTCTCTGTCTCGGATTCCATTCCTGTCTAAAACTCTGTCTCCATTTAAAGCAGGGTCTGCAAATGACTGCTTTTAAAAATAAAATTGTATTGGCACAAAGCTATGACCACCATTTGTACACTGTCCGGGTTCTTTCCCAGCACACAGTGACTTGTGGCCTACTGAGCCTAATTATTTACTGTCTGACCTTGTATGGAAGTGTACCAACCCCACTCTAAGGTATCAAGAGCCTCTGCTTGTCCCTGATCTCTTCCCATCCTAAGTGTAATTTGTTAATTATACTACTTCTGCGTGTGTAGCTGTGCACAGGACATGAATCCTGCATGCTGCTAGCGCTGAGAGTTCCTTCTCAGGGCCATTGAGGCCTCGCTCCAGAGGCCCAGCTGGAACTTTTGGAGGCCCTTGGAACACACGGCTGTGTTGCCAGAACATCCTGAAGAACTGAGAGTCTGCTCTGGATTTTCAAACCACACTGTCAGAAATGCTTTGCAACCCTGACATTAGGCATCGCTTCACGATGGTATTGAGGAAGCACTTCTGTCCGAGAAGTCCTTGCCTGTGTGTGATAGTAAAACACTGTTGCCTCTAAGATCTGCCCCAGCAGCTGTTTGCTGAGGAGATGGCAGCACTGTGAGATCCATGTTCCTGTGGGCTGAGCTACACGGCACCTCCAGAGTGCCTGCACCTCCTTCCTGGTCCTTCTGAGGCTCGTGCAAAGCCCAGGCATGGTCAGCGTCTGTGGTCACGCTGGGGCCTTGGTCACTAGCTTCACATGCCACAGAGCCTGCTGCAGGGCTGGCTGCGTCCTGCATCCCACCCTTCCCGCCACTCAGAGAGACCCACGCTTGTGTGAAGATGAGGGGCTCTAAAGTGTTATGAGGGACAAATAGGATCAGAAAGCCAGGCACAAAACCGTCCAGAGACCGTGAGTTCCATCTGTAGATAGAAATTGTTAAAAGGGACTCAAATCAATCTGCCAAAAAAGTAAACGTTAGTATTTTATGAGTAAATTATAGGTAAATTCTACCGTATACTTACCATGCACCGTATACTGTATATACTGTATGTCTTCTTTTCATGTACCACTAAAAGAGTGAAAAAACTGCCATTACCTGTAAAATGCCAACGTACATATGATGCATTCAAATATAAGATATTAAAATGTAAGATAGAGTATTTGAGTTACCCTAATTTTCAGTATGGAAAATTAGTACTCTTGAGTAGAAATTCTTCAGTACCTTCAGTACTCTTGAATGGAAATTACCGTACTTTTTCTTAACTTCCGTTTTAGGTTCAGGGGTGCATATGCAGGTTTGTAATATCGGTAACTTGCACGTCACCGGGGTGTAGGGGGTGGATTATTTCACCAGGTGATCAGTGTAGGTTCGATCCTCTCCCTCCTCCTCCCTCCTTCCACCCTCAGGCAGGCCCTGCTGACTGTTGTTCCTTCTTTGCGTCCGTGTGTCTCAGCGTTTGGCTTCCTCTCATAAGCGAGAGCTGTGTTTGGTTTTGTTGCCTGTGTCAGTTCCCTTAGGGTCACAGCTCCAGCTCCATCCATGTGGCTGCAGGGAACATGATCTTGTTCTTAATATCCCGTGGTCGATATGTACCACATTTTCTTTATCCAGTCGACTGTTGATGGGCATACAGCACTTTTACAATTAGAAAAAAATTAAAAGCGTAAAAACTATGATAAGCACCGGGCACAGTGGCTCATGCCTGTAATCCCAGCACTTTGGGAGGCCGAGGTGGGCGGATCACGAGGTCAGGAGATCGAGACCATCCTGGCTAACATGGTGAAACCTCGTCTCTACTAAAAATACAAAAAAATTAGCCAGGCGTGGTAGCGGGCGCCTGTAGTCCCAGCTACTCGGGAGGCTGAGGCAGGAGAATGGCGTGAACCAGGGAGGCGGAGCTTGCAGTGAGCCGAGATCGCGCCACTGCACTCCAGCCTGGGCGACAGAGCAAGACTCCGTCTCCAAAAAAAAAAAAAAAAAAAAATAAAAAAAGCCTTTAAAATAAGAAATTCCCAGGCGTTCCTGAGCAGCGTGACTGACTGTAAAGGAAGCCTCTCCGGGGTCTGTGTTTGAAAGCAGGACGAGGTGGTGTGTGGCCTCCATGCAACCTGCAGAACCTCATGACACTATCCTGTGTGACTTTATTGCACTGTCCCGTGGGACCTGAGGACACTACTTTTCCTTGTGCTTTCCATACTTCACATCCAAGTGTGATGCCAGATCTGTTGAGAGATGCGTATTCAGTGATGCAAACTGTAAACTAGAACAGAGGCAGGACTGAGAAGCGAGGAGGCTGGGCGTGGCAGCCCACACCTGTGATAAAATACCACAGAGGTAGAATTGAGAAGCGAGGAGGCCAGGCACGGCGGCCCACACCTGTGATAAAATACGACAGGCAGAATTGAGAAGCGAGGGCCGGGCGCGGTGGCTCAAGCCTGTAATCCCAGCACTTTGGGAGGC